CTCCGGGTTCACATCTTCTTGAGCCTTCACTCCATTCTCTAAAACTTTTTCCAACTATTTTCCATCACTAACTCTGTTCTGCAATAAGCTCCCTTCCTAGGCAAAAACTGAGAAAGGCAAATATTAAATGCCTAGTCTCAACTGGCAGAAGGACTGACTAATGGAATTCTATGGAGATTCCAAGACACCAGCACATCTCTGGATGCACATATTGAGACACACAGGAGGAATCATACTTTTCAAATTGATGAACAACACATGACACCAAACCTCTACAATGAGAGGAGAGGCTTATAAGCTGCTATGTGCAATTTTTCTCTTAACTGAAAATAGATTTAAAATGTACTTCAGGATTATTTATAAGCAGTTCTTAAGCTTGATGATACTAAGCCTAGATACATTAAAGACATAATGATACCACTGAGGGTGCTTGGTTAGTTGGATGCATGACTGTCACCTTGCTCCATGTGTGTGACTACTGGTAGCTAGCTATAAGTAAGTAAGGTTTAGGCTGTTGGTGGTAACTACATGAAAATGTACAGTGGAATTAATCATAGTATCTAACATTATTTGAGCACTTGCATGTGCTATGCCTTTTATTAAGCCCTTTGCATGGGTGATCTTATTTAATCCCCACAACAACTCTGTGTATGAGAAATGTATCTGTCTAACAACTATGAAAAATATGCTGCTCTTACCACCTTTTTAGAGATAAGGAAACCGGATCTTTTAAAGGTCATGTAATTTGCTCAAGATTCCACAGTTAGTCAAGTGATGGGCCAGAATCTGAACCCAAGCCATCTGAATCCAGATCCTGAGCTCCCAACTGTAAGACCAGGAGGAAATTTAGGTCCCACCTCTCTCTCCTTCACCTCTCACCTCCTCCACACCAAGACATTTTTAAAAAGTAGAAGTCCAGACTAGCTCATTGAAGTAAAAGATCCAAAATCTAATTCAAACTCAGGGGGTTGGGGAGGGCACAAAGGAGAATAAAGGAAAGACTAGAAGTGCTCTTAATCAAAGTCCAGTTAATATACTCACTGGATTTGCCAATGGTCCATTCCCTCGCCTTAAGCAAGACTGATGCAAGTTTCTCCCCTACTTCTATACACGTACTTTTGGTTAGTCAACTCCTGAGTAGCCTACCAACTGCCGATTCCAATCACGTCAGGTGAGAGGGTTACCCTGCAGATGTTTTTTTCCAGGCCTGTTACCTGACACCGTAAGATTTGTAGGACATCTTTTTAAAAGTGAAAGAGCTTTAAAACAAAACAAAACAGCTCAGAAGAATACAGGGGTAGCAATTCGGCTTTTTGGTCATGTACCTAGGAAATCTAGTCAGTTCAAAAATCTATCTCTACCACAAGAAAATCGGTGAACGACACCGTTGGAAAGAACTGAATTTACTATGAGGTCCACGCCCATTGCCTATGGAAAATACAATAATTTATTTCTTTAGCACGAGCTTTCCTGCAAAGAACGCCACTGAACTGAAAGCCTCGCGGTGGCTGGCTTCACACTCTACCCAACAGAATATATACAAGCAAAGAGGAAACACACCGTCACGAAAAAATACACAATTTCCTTTTATTACCTCTTCTGAGTAGAACAACTCTTCTTTGGGGACCAAGTCAGGGAGCCGTAACAGTTCACCACACAGTATTTTCCATTCTCACAGCCAGTAAAAATTAGGAATCACCCCCATCAATGAGGATGACCCAGTTATTCCCAGAAAGCAAGGGCCTCCACGGTGGATGTCTCTCATGGGCTTCTGATCCAGCATGAAGATCAGATGCCTGGAATCCATATCTCCCTCCAATGAGTAAGAATCCATTAAGAAAAAAAAAAAAAAAGCACCTAGGTCCTTGGCTGGAACACTGGCTGTGTAAAGATGAGTGGTGGGAAATAAAGCCATAAAGATAGGTGGGTGTAAACTGTGGGGGCCTTGAAAGCGCCAGGGCAGCTTGTAATTAATTCAGTGGCTGGCTGTGCAACCACAGAAAGTTTTGGAGAAAGAACGGTGACATGACTATAATCTACAGAGTTACTGGTGAACATTATAGGATACCCCAAGGGTAGACCAGGTTCAAGGTAGAATGACCAGCTAAGAGGCAAGCTATGGAAAGAATCTAAGTGTCCATCTACAGATGAATGTTTAAGGAGATGTGCGGGGGGGGGAGGGCGCGGTGTGTGTATGTGTGTGTCACATATGGGATGGAATATTGTTCAACCATGAGAAAGCAGGAAATTCGGCCATTGGCATGGATGGAATGTGAGGGCATTATGCTTAGTGAAATAAGTTAGAGGAAGACAAATACTGCATGATTTCACTTACAGGTGGAATCTAAAAAACCTGATTTTATAGACAGAGAGAGTGGAATGGTGGTTGCCAGGAGTGGAGGGTGGGGAAAGTAAGGAAATGCTGGTCAAAGGACACAAACTTTCGGTTATCAAGTCTGGAGATCTAGCATGCGGATTATAGTTAACAATGCTGTATTATATGTTTGAAAGTTGTTAAGAGAGTAGATCTTAAATGGTCTCACCACCAAAAAAAAAAAAGAAAGAAAGAAATGGTAATTATGTGAGGTGATGGAGGCGTTAACAAATGTTACTGCAGTCATCATTTTGCAATACATAAGTATCAAATCAACGCTTTGTATTCCTTCAGTCTACACAATACTGTATGTCAACTGTCTCTCCATGAAGCTGGGGGACACAGGAGAGGCCACACTTGATGGAAGCTCTTGTGCCCGTTAACTTTCATTGTCTTTGCTTACAATTTATTTCATTTGAGCAACATTAATCTCATGACTTCAAAGAACTTACCATTTTCTATTATGTTGCATTTTAGAAAGTTTATACAGGTCTGCCTTCTCAAAGTTCTGACGCTTAGAAATTGGCAGACTTGTATTTACATGTACGCCAATACCAACCTGGTCAATGGCGTGCTCGCTAGCATACAATGGAAGCAGCACTTTTTGACTTCTGAGACTAAGCAGCTTTATCCTCATCTGCCAGAACACTCTGGGAACCTTGAGGGTATGTCAGAAGGCAGGCCATCTACCCTGAGACCACCAAGCTGGAAAGGCCATGTGTGTGGGTGTTCCTGTGGACATTACCAGATGCACCCAGACTTCAAGCCCATCTTGCAAAAGCTCCAGACCCGTGAGTGAAGAAGCCTCCAGAATGTAGGCTCCTAGTACTGGAGTCACCCCCAGCTGCTTGAGTCCTCTCACTGAGGCCCCAGACATCTGGAAGCAGAGACAAGGCTTTCTGCTGTGCCCTGTCCATATTCCTGACCCAAAGAATCCATGAGCATAATAAAATGCTTTTTTTAAAAAAACATTAAGTTTTGGGGTGGTTGGTTCATCACTAATAGATAACGGGAACCATATGTACAACAAGAAAGGTGATAAACCCACCAGTTGTGGAGCCCACACTTGAAACATGATACTTAGGTCTGGGTGACATATTTCAAAAGATTCAAAAACAAACACACTCAGAAAAGAATAACAAGAATGTTCCTTTGGGGGAAAAAAAATGAAAGGACTGAAGATATTCAGACTAAAAAAGACAACAAAGGGTATGTGTTAATTGTCTTCAAATATTTGAAGGACTATCAGGAGTAAAAGTGAACACAATGACTCTGTATCTTCCCAGGAAGGAGGCCTGCTACAGGAAGGCAGGCAGAAGAATTTTCTAATGTTCAGAGCTTTCCAAGAAGGAAGAGGCAGCCTTAAGAAGTAGTGAGTTCCCTAACACTAAGGATCTCAAGCAGTCCAGATGATTACCACCTGGTAGGTAGGTTTGGAGAGAATTCATTTATTGACCAGAAAGTTGAATGAAATGCTCTTATTTTAAGGTTACATTGCAACGCGGAGATGTTTTTAATCTAAAGATCATCCCCATTTCCTTGTGCTAAGAAATCTAATCCCAACACATGTTGAGCAGAGGAAAAAAAAAATACAAGATGAATAAATTAAATGAAAGGCAATACCACAGTATAAATAGAAAGTGATGTAGAACTCTAGAGGAAAAGGAATGGCATACCAACAGGAAAATATAATCCAGCATAGCAGCAAAGACACTTAAAAAAAGATGAAGCATGAAGAATAAACCAGGGAAGAGAGAAAAGGACATCCAAAGATCCCTTTGCAGAAGAAACCTCGTATAGAGGATGTCCTTATCTTTCTTGAGAAATGGCTTTAGTCATTTTTAAGACTTTTCTCCTCTGTCAGTGGGAAAGACAGACCAAAAGAACATGGGTAGTGTAGCAGCAAAGGGAACAAGGCTGAAGTGGTAAAATGAGCGACGCTCTTCAGTGATCACTGGATTTCCGGCCTCAAGGAGCTACAGGATCTGTGTGCCTGTGGGATCAAGAGCACCTGCCTGGAAGCCACGGTCGCTAACGTCAGTCCGCAGGAATGACCACTAAGGGAAGCAAACAGATCTGAAACTAAAAACCTGGTTTCCTAAAAAGCCAACGTAAAAAGGAAAAACACAAGCCACCTCGAAAATGAGATGTGTCCAAAGCAAAAACCATGAAGGAAACAACAACAACAACAAAAAAAAAAGAAAAGAAAGAAAACGTTACAAAATTATCTCATACACATTTCATCTGAATTTTATCACCATTTGTAATCAACTTCCAAGGTTTCATAATACCCTTTAACCTTAGTTACTCAACCCACCGAACAAGTCATCTCATTGTTACCCCTGTTTGAAGGAAGAGTGGAAACTCTTTTCATGTTGATAAGAGATAGAAAGAGGAGTCACTCCCAGGAAAGAAAAGCATTGTGAGTAAACTCCTGGAGCCTAATGGTAAAGGGTGGTGATAATTCGGCGCTTGCCTTAACCCTTTCAAAGACTTATTGAACCAGAAGTCAGAAATACATGTAATTGATAAAATAAAAGTAATTTTCACTTAAAAAACGAAAAATAGAAAATTTTCATTACCAAAAAGAAAAAAAAGAGCCCAGAAATTATATCTGATTACTCACCCATTTCCTAGGTCTGCCTCTTGGCCGTTTTTCTCCAGTGGCTTCTGCTTTCTGCAAAATGAAAAAGGAAGTCATATTGTTTCCTACCTGACGTTATTTATAAGTGCTGCATCGAGGGACACATTCCAAGTAAGAATGTTCTGGTTTGCGATGAGGTATGGAGATTGCTTTAACAATCCCCTTCTCCATGAAGGCTCATCTTCTTCTCCATGTTGGAGTAGATCCTCCTTCCCGGGTGTTTCATTGCATGATGCACAGAGATATTTACGCATCTCTCACCCTCAAACACTCCCCTGGAATGATCTCCTCTGAAATGCATGAAAATGCTTTTAATAAGCCATTTTGCTTTTATTTCTATCCACAATAAAAAAAAATACTCCCACATAACCATAAATATATAAATTATATAAAATACTCCTACATATCCACAATATAAAAAAATACTCCCACTCTATCCATGATTTAGAAAAATCATGTCTCTTAAATGATTTTGTTTCCATGTCACAGTGAAAGTTATAAAAATTAAAACTGATATATTGCTTTACAACTTACAAAGCACTTCTACCTACATGGCTAATCAAAAGTAAGTCTAAAGTAAGTAAGAATACATAGGCTTTTAATGAAAAAAAAAAAAAAAACCCAAACATTTGCATAGTTCTACATAGTTAATTTCCTATTCCTTGCCAAAAACAATCACGTGTCAATCAATTCATTTAAAGCAGAGAGAGATTAAAAAAAAAAAGTTGGCAGAAATGGTCAATGTTTGTCCCTATGATGGAAACTAGGGGTGCCAAAAGTAGTAATTAATAAAAATGCATATTATTATCAACAAGTCCCCACTCAACACAGACCTGACATGAATATATTTCCAACTACCTTGAGAGTTTGTTTTATTGCTTCAAAGGAGATTTTTTTCTGGTATCACAGTTGTTTTTGCCTTTTGAATCAAATTTTAACATCTATAAAGTAATTTCCCTATGTTTATGACCCCTACTCCAATCCCCAAATACACCAAAACACACATACACACACACGACAAACATCTTCTATAAAAACATATGTTTATACTTTGCAGGATAAAGAAAAGTTAGTACACACTCTTCTATATATAAGAATCATCCCAAGGCTATAGAAACACAGTAATACAGGTAACCTGAGCCAGCATAAGTTGTTTTGCATTGTGCTTTTGTTACCTAAGTTAGCAGCCAGTAGGTACTTGGTACAGTGATATTAAAATTACCTGTTATAACTGTCTACACTGCCAAGTGAGAGTCTCTTCTTTCTCTCTTCAATCTGCCTTATAAAAAGAGATGGAGATAGATGATAGATAGATAGATAGATAGATAGATAATAAATAGATACAGATAGATACACACACACACACACACACACACAAAATAAGCCACAAGATTCCTCACAAATAGTATCTCCCTGACCTGGCATTACTAACCAACAGGTCCTAGGAATTAACCCAAATTCTGTATGATTATAATACTGTTAGTTCACATTTATTGAGCACATGTGTTATTTTCATCTTTAATCTTCACAACAGCCTTATAAGGTAGGTATTACAACTTCTCTTATTTTGCTGATGAGCAACTAAGTCTTAGATAGTTGAGGAAGGTCACACACAAAGGCGGTACAGGGCATGCCTGGGAGCCTGGGATTCGAGCCCCAGGTTCTGTTGGCCTCTAGAAACTGGCTTCCTCCCCTCCTAACAATACTACCTCCCCTTAGCATACGCGCATTCGCTACCATATGGAGATATTTTAGTCAACTAAAATTGTCGCTGACTCAGCTAATTTCCCTGAACAGAAGGAAATCTGGTAGCCTTTAAGAGCTCAGTCTAACTGTGAGGTTTGGGCACTGTGGGTCATTTACTACCTGTGCATGGGCTCATTTATTGTCAGGGGTTAGCGGCACTGTCTTACCTTTAGTCATAGGGCATGAATTAAATTAAATGAAAGCCAGGAGTACCCAGCGAATCACACACTCTTTCTGAGTGCTGTCTTAGGGAGAGAGAGTTGTCTTAAGAGGAACACAGACTCTACTTTGGAAAGCTTGGATTCAAATCCCTGCTCTGCCGGTTTAGCTTTATGACTTTGGGCAGGTCCCTGAAAAACCTTAATTTGGTTTCATGTGTGACATGGAGAGAATGCCTCCTGGGAGGATCGAAGTGCCCACCATAACTGCAGTGCTCAATCAATGCTCTCCACTCCTAACAAGATGGAGCTCTTCAAGGGAAGTTTTCCTTCAAGTCAGTCCACTCTCAAAGAAGGTTCAGTCAATGCAAATATTCCATTACACCCATCTGTCACCTTTAGAATGAAGCTTTTAAGAAACCCTTTGGCTAGTACACAGTGAGTTATAGGAGTAAAAAATTCCCTAATACAGAAGCAGTGTCTGATTTAATCTTTGGGATCAACTGTGAGATTGCACAGTTTACCCAGTAGTAAATTACACAAACATGGAAGATAGAAATCCTTTTTAATGGGCACAGGGATGGTAGGTGGCATTAAGAGGAGGAGGTTATTGACCTTCAAGGCTAGACAGTGCCACACCAAGCTTTCTCGGTACAGTTGTTATGTTTCAGGGGCCATGATGGGATCCGGGCGTATCTAAAATCTGCTAAAGAGAAGGTTGTTTTCTAAAAAGGGTTTCACTGCATTTCAAAGTCAGAGAAAGCAAATCTCTCCAAGGGAGAGAAAGCCCTGCAAATAAGAGGACTTTAAAATGAGCATCTCATTGACAAAAAGCCTATTCAAAAATAAAATTCGCACCATTAACTAAAGGGCAAAATATCACAATTATCACTTGGACTTGTTAAAAGCAAACTGGCTCCTTGGTCTTCAGGCCAGTGTTACATGTAAACTGAAACCCTCTTCGGAGTCTACATCTAGAAGAAACACATTAACCGTGCTGTGTGGCGTCGATCGGGGAGGTTTTCATTGTTCTTTAAAACCCACATTATTTAATCATTCTGATCAAACTTCACAGAGGCTGCAAAACAAGTTAGGATTTTAGTTTGTAAACCAGAAAAGATCCAGGGTTTTTATATAGAGGAAAACACTGGCTTTGAACTTTTTTCCTGTGTTTAATGCTCTTCAGAATATTATTTTTCAATAGAAGATAAACAAAACATTTCAGGGGCTTGTTTTGTTTTTAATACATCAGCACACACAATACTGTGGGAGTATATATTTGGTTTCCCTTCACCAGAGTGGAATTTGGTTCTATACTATAAACCCATGTATCATTGAGACAGTAACTTGTTCTAAGTATTTACAGCTTATGGGCGTGGACGGGTGGGTGTGGGGAAAGAGGCTGGGAATCCTGCATTTGTAAAGACGGAGATTTCAGACTACGGCCCCAAGATTTTGCAAATACTTGCAATTACCACATCATATCTTGTTAGAAGTGTTATTTATTCCTTGCTTATTTTCATATTTTGCCTTTTTTAAAAAAAGTTTAGATTCGGAACAGTATGTTTAATTGTATAATATGCTTAGAAGCAAGTTCATGAGGGTTGGGAAGAATGTTAAGTGGGAAATGTAATTTTTCCTCTTTCTAAGAAGTCTGGTACTCCAGGCTCTTACATGTACTCCACACTAAAAAAAAAAAAAAAAAAAATTAATTGAAAAAGGAAATTCATCTAACAAATATAACTCTTAAGCTTGGAAACAGTGCTTACATTAGTGCCTGGTACATAAGATGTGCTCACACACTTACTGAATGAAGAAGGAAGGAAAGAGAGAAACACTGGTGTTTATATTCCGTGTGTCTTATTTCCTTCTTGCCGTCAGAATTCTGCAGCATTTTGTCTAGACCCTTTATTGAACAAATAAGAAAACTGGATGTGTTCTGATCTCTAAAGACATAGCCCTGTGGGTTTTGGGGGTCAGAAGTCTGCGGGGGAGGGTATTAGCTGCAGTAGGCACCCATTTCGAATCCCTTTAAAAGTTTGTAGAGAACTACTCTCCAAAGGGTTTCTTGAAACTTAACTTCTAACCTGCCTTTCAGGTTACTGGACATAACATAACCAACGCTGTAGCAAATATTTTACAAAATAACCTACAGCACATAGCAGTGGAAAGATCATAAGCATTAGAGTGAGATTTGAATTCAAGCCCAGGTGCCACCATTTTCTAAAGCTGAACATTAGACATGTCACAGTTTACATCTTGGAATCAGTTTTCCCATTTGTGAGATGAAGACCATACTATCTACATCAGAGGATTAAGGAGCTAATACATGTGTAAGATGCCTCACAAAATCTCCAGCATGTGGTAGGTACTCAAATGTAATTTCTTCTCTCCCTCCATATTTTAAAATGCTACCCTTAAAAAGAATACCTCCCAATTCTGAGTGATTTTTCTGAGCATTATCTTGCATTATCTTACTTAAATAGGACAGCTATTACTTGCTCAGTTTCACAAAATGTGAGATTAAGCCAACTGCCCACGTTCGTAAGTAGCGAAACTGAGACCCAATGTGATTTCAAGGCAATAAAGGGTCTGTTCTTCTGGGAGATATTTCATATAAAATGAAAGAGCCATGGGCAGATTTAAAAAAAAGAAAAAAAAACTTCTAGGGTGAAAATCAAATGAGTCATTAAAAGTAAAACATTTCCAAGTTTCCTATAAAGACATAGAGAATTGCTGAGATTGGAAACTAAGAGAATTATCCAATTCTGACTTCTTGGTCAAATTTAGATAGCTATTAATTTTTGTTACTTTAAATGCTCTCATCACATTTTATATGCACTGTGATAATGCATGAAAGCCCAAACTCCCTCACCCCAAATCAATCAGTGCCTCTGCACACACACCAAAAAACAAAAGCTAGAAAAATATTTGGGCATAATACCTTGTTTTGTTTTCATGTATCTTTATCTTTACAGATACATTTTCTTTTTTTAAAGATTTTATTTATTTGAGAGAGAATGAGATAGAGAGAGAGAGCATGAGAGGGAGGAGGGTCAGAGGGAGAAGCAAGCTCCTTGCTGAGCAGGGAGCCCGATGTGGGACTCGATCCCGGGACTCCAGGATCAT